TTTTTTTTTCTTTTTTTAATGAGCTTCTCAAGTAGCTTTCTTTTCAGCCATATTGGTTTCTTTAGCTGGCTTCATTTAGAAAATGAGGTATGTACTACAGATCAGAAATTCAGGGAAGTAGCATTATATTCATGCTTAACACAAATTTAACTCTTTAGCAAAAAAAGAAAAAAGAAATAGCACATGAAGAAGAAAAACAAATAATGAGGAAGAAAAATAGCAATTTAGTGAAATAATAGGGGCAGTTCTGCCAGCCATTCTTCTCAATTAGTTTATGCCCTAGAGTGAGCATTAAAAGAGAGCCCGAGTTTGGTGTTCTTTTATCTGGCTGTGTTGAACTAACTGGAATGATTCCTGAGGAATTTTCAGGGGTGATTTTGATTATTATATGCAATATTTGCTTTACCTGCTGACCCTAGAACCAAACCTCTGTTTAAGCTTTAGCCCCAATGTAAAAAAAATGACAGCCTTTATTTCTCATTTGGCATTATTCGTACATCTGTAGTCTAAATTTTATTTCATTATATATCTCTCATCTTTTATGGATTTTACCTTTTAAAGTCTTTGACCTTTATGACAAATCTATCTCTCCTGTGTTCTTTTTGAACATGTGGGCTATGTTTAACATTGCCTCCTTCACTATAACAACAGTACATGGTGGCATAATCACTGTCAAGGTTATCACCTTATATCATCAATCAGGTATTTCTTTTAAGTGAGAAATAAATCCGAGTAGCAGAAAATTTCTCTCATTCCAACTACAGCTTCCTTTTCTTTCAGTTTTATAATGCCTGTTAGAACAGTATTGCCAATGTTTTTTGTCTGGTAAGATGGTCTGTACTATATTTATATAATAGTATCACATACACATACTTGTACCCCTGTCCCTCTAAAGTTGCTGATGAGCAGTAAATTAAAAATAGCAAATAGCAGCTTAAGGAGCAGAGGAAGCAGGGGAATTTATCTTTCCATAAGAGCAAATCAAATCTTATCTAAGAAATCAAAAACAATAAAAATAATCTCTTTAATATCGTAATCTGTGCTGTTGCATGATTAGAACAAAATATCCCAAAGGTTGAAAACCACAGGATTAAATATTCTGAGTACAGTTAGTACCTCTGCCTTATATAAAATGTTTCATCAAGGCCCTTTGCAGTTTGAGAGGGATACTAGAGCAAGTATATGTTCTTAATAAAGGATATAGGGAATGGTTTACTGTTTTGTAGAGTAAGATGTAAATGCTACCAAGTAATAAACTTATCAATAATTTGATACTTAATAGTAGAGAGAACTATACTAAGGTCAGCATGTGGTACTTGGCCGGATGGATAATATGTAACTGACTTCTAGAACCAGACAATTACACGCCTGGTTTTCCTACC